TCAAAAGATACATAGATAATAATGAAGAAACTTTATATAAATTTCTTGAGTTTAAATTATAGTTTTTAAACAGCATAACAGTTGAAAACTTTATTTCTAAATTATTTTTTAAAGAATATATCATTATTATTATTTCCAATAATATATTATAAACTTTCAGTAAATTTTATCTTCAAAATTTCAGAAAAATTTTATGATTTTGAAGCTAGTTTGTGATTAATTTTTGATTTAAAACTATTAAAGATATTTTTCTAAGAATTTCAAAATATAGTATTTTATCTAAGTATATATACAAACAATTCACCATAAAACGAACACTGATAAAGCAAATTTTACCATAAGCTCTGACAAAACACCATTGTCACAATGTTGATTTTCATGTAATAAAGCAAACAAAAAATTTTTTCAAATTTTCTTAAATTGAACTGTAAATTATCTTTAAAATCCCACAAGAAGTAACTCTATTTTCAATAATGGTTGCTGTTTATATTTTTTGACATGAACAACAAAAAGTGATATTGTAATAAATGTTCCATTTTGATTAGATAGATTTTCTTCTTCTAGTAAGCAAAAATGGGTTCAATATCCCAATTGTAGGGTAATTGAAACATCTGGTTTCAGCAGACCATTCTGCTGTACTCAGAAAATACGGGTTAATATATCCCATGGTATTCTCAAAATATCTTGGGTTGAAACATTATGACCTTGACCAGTGAACCCGAGATATCTTGTTTCTGTGTTTTTGACACTAGATGTCACTAGTTGTCATAATTTTTATATTAAAACAAACTTCCAAAATATAATTTTTTTTGTTTTTACATTTTTTTAATGTGTGTATTTTCTTTATAAAAAAATAATTTTGGACAATACAATAGCCATGATTAATTTTTTCTAAAACGTAATTTTTGTTAGGCTTAACATTGACAAAAATTCAATGTGAAGTGACATGCATCAGAGAAAAATTTCAACATGGGATAAGTTAAAGTAGTGATTCCCAAACTTTTTCAAGCCACTGCCCCCTTGATTCCATAAAGTCATATCTAATGTTCCCTAACTCCATTTTCTTTTGTGTGAGAAAGGCCTGGAAATATTCTTAGGAAAACTTTTTACAAACCTCATACTTTGTGTCTTTACCGTACATTGTTTTCAACATGCAATGTTTCTTGCTCATTATAACAGAGGAAAGAGAACAGTTGTCAGTGATCCCAACCTACATCTATGGTCACTGTTCAGTACCCTGTCTCCAGCACCCTGCTGCTTCCTTTTTTTTTCATCTCCTAGATTTACTTACCACCCACTTTGTTAAACCACTGGGTTAAAGTTTAACAATGCTCACCCCCTTAAATGGATGTGATCTTATGCAAACACTTGCTAGTTTGCATATTGGGGAATATGTGCAGTGATGTTGGGTTTGGCTACTTTGTGCCAAATTTGGCTCCATTTTTATTCTTTTCATGCAAAAAACATTTTCTACTTTTTCAAACAATCGTCAACGAAAAAAATTACAGATTGCCTTTTAGCTTTTTGTTTAACCACTCTGATATATTTCACCACACTTAAACGTTGAATACTGTTTCGTCATTTTGTTTGATTTGAAAATCATTTAGAACATTAATTTGTTTTTGTAAATAAATTTTATTTTATACCACTTTATTTAGTAAATTAATTCAAAATATTATAATTTAGAGAAATTGATCAAACCAATTCCCTAAGTTATATAACATTGACCTTGACCCTGAAAATCATTAATACAAATTTTTAATAAAGCAAACTACCTACTGTTCACCTAGCAATTCATATTAATGTGAGTTGATTGTATTAGATTTAAATATTATATTAACTTATATAATATAAAACAACTAAAAATTTTTTGTACCTATTTTAATTAATTAGTATGACTATAACTATAAATAATTTATGAAAATATTTATTTTTAAATAAAATAATAATTTTTCTTTACTTAGGTTGCAGTAGTATATCCTAATAATGATCCAGTTGCCTTTTTATGTACTTTTTATGGTTGCTTGACAGCTGGTATAGTGCCAGTGCCAATTGAAGTTCCATTAACAAGAAGAGTATGTCAATTTTAAAATTTGTATTATAAAATCAGATGAAATAAGTAGTTAAGTGTTTAATTATTAGATTATCAATGTAAATTATCTCACAGAATAGAGCTAAAACAGTATAAATAGTTAAACAAATGCTAAACAAAACATTATGCTTTTATTGTTTTATTATTCATTAAGCATAACATTTAATTTTACATCTATGTTAAGATAATTTGGAAATAATCAAAATAATCAGCATTAAAGTTATTAATTATATTTAACTAAAAATGTATACACTAATAAAATCTGTTTCTTTTTGGACATTTTTTTGTTTGTTTGATATTAATAAAGTCAAAAGATACATAGATAATAATGAAGAAACTTTGTACAATTAGAATAATTAAAATTTTAAAACCTGTGGAATAGCAAAAACATTGGAACACAAAGTAATGATAATTTGATTGATCATTATTACAGCATTTGTTCATAATTCATATTTTTTATAATGTGTATTTTTAATTAATGCTTATATTTAATAGGATTTTTATATTAAATCACAATAAAAAATTTTAGTATTTTTTTTTCTTAAATGCAAACAAACTTTTACTATGATCTTAAATTTATTTTGAAACAGCAAAACGGTTTAGGTTTTATGAAAGATTTTATATTTCAATATGTTTGAATGCTTCTAATATAGATGATCTTCAGTTATGTTGTAGTTACAATTTAAAAAAAGCATAAATTATGACAACAAATGTATATCAGACATTGATTTTCCATTGAACTAATATATATGGGAGATGTATTCTGAATCAACTAAAAAAAAATTTAAAATTATGGTTTCTTGAAAGTACATAAGAAGTTTAATTTTTAAGACTAAATTAAATGCTATATTTTATTTGTATCTTATTTTAAAGAATATTAGGAGTGATATTGCTGAGTTAAATAAGCTTTATTATAATTTAGTAAAGTTTTGTATAACTTTACATAAGTTGAATATTGTATTATAATGTTTGATAATCTGCTAATTTAGTTATAAAGTGTTGTATAGTATCATACTAGTGCCATGTTATCAGAATGATATATATAATATATTATTATGTATATCTGTAGAAAATAAGTCTTTCATTAAAAATATATAAAAATTAATAAGTATTTATTAATTTTAATTCAAAAATTTTTATAAATATTTAGGATGCTGGATCCCAACAAATTGGCTTTCTCTTAGGAAGTTGTGGTGTTTGTTATGCATTAACTTCAGAAGCTTGTTATAAAGGTTTACCAAAGACTGCTACAGGTGAAATTCATACATTTAAAGGTAATTTTAATACTGTTTATTTTGATAAATGTAATATTTTAAAACTTAAACTGAATACAGTAATTAATTATTTTATTAGGCTGGCCAAAACTAAATTGGTTTGTAACTGAGCATCTTAGTAAACCTCCCAAAGATTGGCAACCACCAGTTAGAATTAGTGAAGAAGCTGCAGCTTATATTGAAGTGAGTTTTTTTAAATCTAATATTGAACACTATTCTAAAACAATAATTATAATTTATTAGTGTGTGTCTATATTTTCTATTATATTATGCACAAAAGCAATACAACTTGAAAATTTTACAAATTAATAGAAAGAGTATTAAATTGGAAAGAATCCTAATTCTTGCTCAGAAACATTATAATTTGAATTTTTAATAAGTATAAAAACACTACCAAACATGATTTTTACCTTCAAAGAAATAAAGGTAATTCCTTATCAATTCCGATGTTTATATTTCAAAAATCGCCAAGAAAATGTCACATTACTTCATGGTTTTTCCTGTATGTCATGTTCTTTGCTAAAAGAAATGGTGCACTTCACGCCAAGATTTTTATTTAAAATAACAATAAAAATAACATACTCTGTCTTGCAGCATTAAAATCAACACTTTATTCACACTTTGCAAGTACCTTCAACAGTTTATGACTAGCCTCTTTAGGCTGATTTGTTTTATATTTAAATTGAACAAGATTTTTGGATTTTTGAATAAGTAAAAATGCCCAAAACGATTCAACAGAGAAAATGAAATTGTTCCTAAAAACAAAATTTCACAGGTGACAGAGGAGGATATATTAAATATATCATCAGATAAGGAAGTATGTGGATTGTCCTTCATGGCTGTTAATTCATGTACCAAAATCCCAAAAATATTGCTGAAAGAGAAGGAAGCTGTCAAAAGAAATAGTTCTGTTGAAACAATGGCAATTTCCACACCAGTGAAATACAAGAAAAGAAGAAGCAATACAGGAACTTTTAATTCATTAGTCAAAGCCGTGAAAGAACATAAATACATTGTGTTAAGAATTTTTTTGTTTTTTTGTTTTGTTTTACTATAGTGGAAGAAACAGATTTTCATAATTTGATATATTTTCAAAATGTTTGATTTTATAAGTGTAATAATGAAATTAAATTAAAGCACTGATTATACATTTTTGAAAAATCTATTTAACTTTATATAAATATAAAAGCCATCATCTCTGTGTGCACATATGTGTGTGAATTCCTTATAACTTCTGTAATTTTTGTCCAGTCTATATGAATTTTGGTTACATTCCTTTTATATTCTGAAAGAAAGTATAGGCTATTTATTCTGTGGAAATATTAGCTAAAGAATAAACATTTTATCAATTTCAGATTGGTGATTGCACTTGCATTACAATGACATCAGTGACCACGAGATAGATGTTCATGATTGATGAGGAAATTTCCCTTAAGTTGTATTTTTAAATATTTTGGCAAATGGCATATTTTAAACTTACTTCATTAAATTAAAAATTCCATATATTTTTTAATGGAATTATGTTAT